TGAAAGCACAATAGCATCTCGCATGACCCACCTCCTTGACGGTGCTAGTCTATGCATAAGTAGTGTTGCTCTACAGGTAAGTAGAGTGAAGTAGACTCCCCCCCCACAGAAGTGTGGTTGGGGTCTACGAACGAATACTTACCTGTAGAGCATCCCTCCCCCCTACCCCACTCTTCTCGATGCCTTGGGTACTTTGTTGTATTCCGACTTAGCGCTCGAGAAAAGAGGACGCTCACGAGGCACGCATGCCGCGGGGTGTTATGGGTAGGGCGCCAGAGGGCGCTATTGTATATAACTCTTAGCGAAAATACCTGCCGGTAGGGGGAATATGCATAAGTAGTGTTGCTCTACAGGTAAGTATTCGTTCGTAGACCCCAACCACACTTCTGTGGGGGGAGAATTTGGTTTCAAATACATAAAGTGTTATTTGAATTCTACATGAATATCCGTGTATTTACTGGAATTAAATAAAACCTATGCTTTTTATGGGACACTTCATTTATTTATTAATGCATAAACTCAAGTTCAAAATATCTTTAATAGAAAAATACATATTTTGTTTATAAATGTGTATACATGTATTGCCAAAAGAAGTTTCGACTTATCTTCAGAGAAAATAAAACATGTATTAGCTGACGGGTTAATTTTTGTCTGTGGGTCATAGATGAGAAATTAAACACATCGAAAAGTTGCTTTGACATTTCAATTTTCACGAGCATAGCATATATTTTAAATAGAAAACAGCAATGTATACTTAACCACATGTGTGTGTGAACTTAGAATTTATTGACCACAAATACAATTTGTTGTTTTGTGGTGTACATATATAGATTTCCATGTCTAAGTATTATAGAAATTTTACACATTTATTCACGTTCATTGTAAAATAAATTTATGCATATTAGATTGCAATAAGTTAATAAATCTGTACAGAGGTACATGTTACATGTACATGTAGATTACTGCATTGCACAGAAAACAGGAAATTTGCAATTACAGCTCAAAGCTTTTTACGAATTTGCATTCAACAGGTAGTAGCATAAAAAGTACACTCTTTTGCATGGTTTTTGAAGTAAGCCAATGACATTATGAGCTTTAGATGCAGCAGTACACTTACCCCTTAGTTAAGTGGAACCACCGACTCACGACAGTTTGTGAGCGCACAACATACTTGCGCAATTTTATTAATTTTAGGCACCTTTTGTTTCTCGGATGTAACTAAGGATTCCCATGGAACTTTTTCAGACAAAATGCTGTAAGTCTCTCTCATTTCTCCGATGATACGTTCAACATGTATGCGAAGGTGAGCAATTTTCCGTGATCTCTCAACATCCAGTGCTGAAAGTCGGGGCTTCCCTTCTGAGAAGGCTGGCGTCAGAAGCTGTGCACAGTAGAATCCGACCTCATCAGAAATGTTAAATCCTCGATCAGCTAAAACGTAGTCACCGGGTAACAGTTTGTACAAGAAGTCAGACTGAAGTGTGATGGCTTTGTCCGATCCCCTTCCTCCCCATGCTGAAGACAGATATGATATGATGCCTGAAGGGGTGATACCTATCAAGAATTTGACTGTATTGTGGTGCTTGTAATTCAACCATGTCTGTGCTCTTGCCTCTACACTTGATGGACAGACACAGAATACTTCAAAGCAATCAATGATCTCGGCAACATGTTTGCCAAAGGCTTGTCTGAAATCCATTGGCATTGTTTTCCACAAGGTCTCTCTGGAAGGCCACATTATCAGTGGTGACAGCTGGGTAGATAGAATGTCCAACATCAGAGAAAATATGCGGCACACTGTAGCTTCGCTCACTTGAAAACAAAAAGCAAGATCTTTGTGCTTCAGGTTTAACTTAAGTTTCATCAGAACCACTACAAGTTGCTGAAATGGTGTCAAAATTTTCCCCACAGGAATTTTAAGTACTACAAAATTGAAGACTGCCATCAAAACTGTAAGTGTCGGAAGTCCAGTGTAAAACTTCACTTCATCATCATCTTTGAAGTACTGTTCATTGATTATTGCTCTTGCCGCTGTCTTTATGGCCCGCTGAAGCTCTGAGCTGTTTCCTGCTGCCCGACCTTCCAAAACACTGATGTCTATGGCATAAAGATCAGTCTCAAATGAGGGTTTCTCTGTCTGCACACCTTTGTTGCTTGGTCTTGGGGTTCCTTGGTCTGCGGTTGATGTTGTTCATGTGCCTTGGCCGCCAACTGCCTTCGTTTTGATCGCTCATACCGTTGCTGACTGATGAGAAGGGTGCTTTGACATGGCTTCTTGTGGCCCAAGTTAATGGTTGGCGCCCAGTCTATGCTCAATTCATCATACAAAGCTGCTGGTCGACCTGCAATTAACATAAGTATGCAAAGTGATAAGTACACGTTCACATGCTGCTATATCTTATTCCCAATCTTCTGAAGGTTATAATTCCAAACAAGCTATTTGATCTAATAACAAGTCTCCAACTCCCATTTTAGTTGGGAATTATCAATTATGTGACTGATTAAAGGCCTAGCTGATGCAAGACAAGACTGCAAGAAGTATTTATTTGATTGAATTTCAAAGCAAAATTCATATGAATGCAGAGTAATGTTCGCTTTATGTTTTTTAGTGGCTGATAAATTTACAACAGAAAAGAAAAGAAAACCAAAGGGGTCCAAAATTGTTTGTATTAAAGTACTAAGTACTACAGCTTTTGTTTTGGAAACAGTTTCTGTAATCTTTCACCATTTTCTGACACTGACATCCATTCTTTCATTAAAATGGGGACAAATTATTTGCTAGTATAAAAGGCTTAGAACAAAGCAGGCCTGTAGTAAGGCTTTGATCTGGATAAACTCCCTCAATGACATGAATAGGAACTGAATATTTGGGGGAGAAATTTTTATTCTTTAAAGAAAAAAAAATGAGAAAAAAATGAGTGAAAATTTATTTTAAAAATTACAACGATTTTTCAAAATGGATTTTCAGGAGGGCATTTATTCTTGCCTGGGGGTCAATTGAAGTTCGAATCACACACAAAAATAAAATAAAATATAATAATAAATAAATAAAATAAATATATAAGTAAATAAATAAACAAAAAGGTCCATAGAAATTCTTTATCCTGGGTGTGCTGCATGGTGCCAGTATTTTAACCATGACCCCAAAAAATTCCCTCAAAAATTTGCAAATTTTGAAAAGGTAACATTTGGCTTGGGTGTTTTTTAAAAGTAGATGTCATGCACAACCAGTAAGTGTCAGACTTTGGACAATGGTGCTGGTTATAGCAAAAAAAACAACATGTTTTTGTGCACAGCAAAATACGGCGATGATTTTCCTTATTTTGCTGTCTGCTTTTTTCGGAATAGGCCTGAAGTCGAGTTTGAAAGCAGCTACATGCTTTAATGGTAAAACCTTTCCCTTATGTGTATTTTCATCTCAAGAAAGTCTGCTTACATGTATGATGAACCATAGGATAAGCTGACCTGAAACAAAGTGGTCCGAGCAAACTTTGTAGTGGGTTTTCGTCGCATCCAAGTCTGCACGTGAAATGTTTGCAAGCCACTGCACTCTCCGTCTTGTTGACAATTCCTTAGTTTTTTCCCCATGGTGGTGGATAATTTTGGGGATGGAATAGTATGATTTGTCCTTTTCTCGTTCACTTCGATTGCTGCAAGCGTAAATGCAGCACACATGGACCATTTTCGACGGAAAATGCAGCATGCAACACACACGGCATCAACACAGCTGCTTGTCCCATGTCATGGAGGACAGATCGTTGCTAAGTCACGACTTGACCTTTTGACCACGCATGCAAGCGCTCTATTGCAGTCATCCGGGCATTTTCACTGGTTTCCACACGATTAAGAGCATAGAAAGTCACGCTGCAGGAAAAGGCGAGGTATGCGCGCACTCTTGTCAACAATTAAGTGGCAGCTTCAAATAATTTGACGAAAAAGATGAAATGAAGACAGTGTCTTGAATTGTATTTCTTGCAGATCAAGTCAGTCTGATATAATAATAATAATACTATTGGATGGCTTTTTTCGGTGGATACAAGAATATATTGCACGAGCTACCGGTATGGTAATGTAATTTTGCACCCGTCTTCGACTCATGCAATTGTCATACATGTAGCTCGTGCAATATATTCTTGTATCCACCTCAAAACCATCCAATATTATAATATTATCCAATTTTCGATACTTTTGATATTATTCCTCAATATCGATTTCAATATTTCGATATGATTAAAAAAATGATATCGGTGATATTGATATGAAAACATAATTGAGTAATATCGATATATCGATGGTGCTTACCGGTATGTACCTAGACTGGGATGGTGTACATGTACATGAAAATTGATGTGACGTCATCATAAGGTCATCACGTGACATGTGACGTCATCATTCAAAGCCCTATGAGAATGTAATCACATATATTATATGCCATTATAAACAGAACTACACATCCTTCCTGGATGGAACTTATACTTAACTTTACACATCACATGTCATAAAATAAGTTGCTGAAACAGCCCTGTGTTACCGTACTTTCTACTGATATGCAGATACAGCATTGATTTACAAGAACTTTGTCCGTACTATTATGCTATAAGGAGAGCCATTGGACACAATGACCATGAAGTGTGTTGTTTACTTCACTGCTCGATTTATAGACAAAACGTGGATATTGAGGGATCAAAGAAAAAGAAAAGAAAACAAAAAGGATGATCAATATGTGTATAATTACATTTGTAAGAGACTGAATCAGTGAAAAGGAACATTTTATATCCAAGTGGCACGATGGCCAAAGGTAATTTTGGGCCATGAAAAGCCCTTCTCTTTCAATCCCTACACTTTTGAATGGACCCCGAAAATTTCATCTGCACTTTGGGGGGAAATGAAATTGACATTTTAAAACAATTTTGTTAAAATAAGCATGCATAACCCCCTCCCCCTGCATAATGCTGATAATTATGAATGACCCCGATACTATTTGTTCCCTTATTGCACAGCTATCCCGATCTTAAGTCGCTTCATGTGCTGAATGCTCATCCTGCCAACTGTATATGTATTGAATTCGACCCAACTGGAAAGTACTTTGCCACAGGGAGTGCTGATGCCCTTGCCAGCTTATGGGACGTCAACGAACTTATTTGCATCAGGACTTTTTCAAGGTATTGTGTAATTGTTAGAGTACTGGTAGTCTGTATACATTGATAAAGATTGAATTCAATTCTGTGCTTTTTGTTTGAAGTACAGTATTTTAATTCCCTTTCATGTTCATGGTTACAGGCTTTACCTGTAATACATTTATTTCGTTCACAACACAGCTTTGATTTGGGAAATTCCACGCAGAGTGGATGTGGCTGAAAAGTAGACATTTTATGAAATCTTCATAACTACAAGTTATTGTTATTGAAATCTCATGTTAACACCATTGTTTCCAAAGCTAACTGTCTTTTAGGCTTTATCCGGACAGTAGCACGTGGAGCTTCTCCATCTGCCATCTTTTGTCTGTACCGGTCCCTTGTCCTTCCTATTTTGGAATATGGCTTACCTGCTTGAGACCCCTATACCTCCGCTGATCAACAAAAACTTAAACATGTTCAACGCACAGCTACCCGTATTGTTCTAGGTCAGCGGAGGGGGGAAATGTCATATGAGGAAAGACTCCATAAGCTCAATTGGTCCATGCTCACTTCCAGAAGAAATTTCATTCTATGCTCATGTTTGTATTCAAGGTATAATATGGTCTACTACACTGTGAATCTTTCCAAGAGAACCTTCATATTAATCCACGTCATCCAAACATCCTCACATTTTGTCACCTTCCTTCTGGTCCGGATGCTTTATTCCATTCACCGACCCGTCACTTTCCTAGACTCTGGAATCACTTACCTACTTCAATCCAGGATTCCGCAGTGCTTAATTGACTAAACTCATTTCTAGCCAGTCTCAAGACACACTTCCATGACCTGCTCACATTATAGCGCAATTAACTTAATCTTAAGTTTAATCTTCGGGCTTCCCTTTATTGTGTTATTTCCCTGCCATTTGTAATTTTGTTCTTGTGCATTTGTTTGCCTTTTTTGTCCCGTTCGTTTGTCAGTATGTGCGAGTCTGCATGCTTCCGAGCAACAGTGATTAGATTCGCTTTTGCGGTCCCTGAGCCACATAATTGAGTGGTCGGGCACAACCCGACCACTCTTTGGATCTGTTGCGATTAATCTTTCTTTCTTTCTTTCTTTTTTTTTTTTCCCGGACAATACTTCTCCGCGGGTTTTCTCTTAAACGGTACATTTCCCCGAAACAACTACCGCAATGATTTATTTTCATTGAAAGTGAAAGAACTATTTATTGTATTTCCCTTTACGATGTAGATTTGTGTTGGAGACACGAGTAAGTTCATGGTATGAACTTGTAACTTTCAATATATATCGACCCTCATCCGAAGTGGTGCATATTACTCTGACGTCATGATTACGTCATCAGGTGTCAAATTACAAGCGATTGTCGTTGAAAAAATGACGATATTATTTCACCTATAACTCTTGAACTAAACATTCAATGATGTTTGTATTCTGTTATCAGATAGACCATTAATTGCTTAACATTTTTTGTCGTGTACGTAAACTCGCTTGACCTTTACTTCCGGGTCTACCGGAAGGTCAACAATAGGTGAATTCAAAATGAAGACGTTAACCTGAAATAAAAACAAAGCAAAATTTCTTCCGAACTGTTTACGGTACAATCACAAAACCTTGTGTGAACTTGAACCATGTTACGAAGATTTTATGAATTTTGTTACGGCATCATGACATCATCAGGTATCAAATTACAAGCGATTTAAGGGCAAATTTTGACAAAATAGTTTGCGTTATATCTTTTGAACTAAATAAAGTATCATGTTCGTTTTTTCGTGAGGTTGTAGACTATGCAGTGAGAAACATTTCTTGTGCCCGGACACAAAACCGCTTGACCTTTACTTCCGGTGTTACCGGAAGTACCATAAAAACTTAATATAACTCAAAAGCGGAAGCATTTTACTACAGACATATTATGAAAGTGTTTAGTGAGGAATGCAAGTCCCAAAAAACAGTGTGATGACGTCATCATCCTAAAAAGGCGCCCCCTAGCGGCACATAAAATAGTGTTTGTTTTCTTTAATCTATAAGACCATCGGTTTTAATTTTACCAAATCGCTCCTTGATATTCTTTGATTAACCACCGATGACTTGGCAAGGTTTCAAATTCATGACGTCATCAGACCGGAAGTTACGTCTATGAGAATTTGACAACGATCATATTTTTAATTGAATTCTATCTTTTGATCCATGTCGTATATCTTCGTAGCCCAAATAACGATATCCATACCAATGTTAACCTTTTGCTTCCAAATTTACTAGTGACGTCATGAAACCGGAAGTTAGATGTTATAAATGCATACAATTATTTTTTCCATATTTCCATACGTTATTTAACTTCACAATAAACATTTATCCACTCGGAACTAAATCAGTATTCACTTCCCGATTTTTATGCCCCGCGGCGAAGCCGAAGGGGCATACTGTTTCCGCCTTGTCCTTCCGTGGGTGGGTGGGTGTGTGTGTTAGTGTTCCTGCATGGCATTACGCCTGAGGACAGACAACAAAAGGAGCACAAAGGGGCCATTGATCCTCAAAGGAAGGTGCCTATTGTCCTCGAACGCAGGTTTGTGTGCTTAGTCTATGGGAGAGTGTTATATTACAGGGACAAAGGAAAACACAAAGCCAATCCTCGGAAGCATAGCAAACAAGTCAGGTGTGTTTACAAACACAAATGCCCCGCAACCGTGACTGTTTCCATGACATAACACCACTCTAACATCAACTTACATGTACCTTGGTCAAATGGAACGTTCATTGACAGCATTAGTGTCTTCTGTAGGTTTTATATGAATTAATCCCTAATCCCTATGATCTCAGAATAAATACAAGATTTCTATTGTTTTAGCCACTGTGACCTTGACCCTTGACCTTTTGACCCCCAATGCGATAGGCTTCTTAGGATTGCCAAGGACAATCCACAAACCAAATTTGAAATTCATATGTAAAGTATTTCTCAAGTTATCGCGCTGACAAAATTTCTATTGTTTCAGCCACTGTGACCTTGACCCTTGACCTTTTGGCCCCAAATGCAAAAGGCTTCTAAGAATTGCCAAGGACAATCCACAAACCAAATTTGAAGTTCATATGTAAGGTATTTCTCAAGTTATCGCGCTGACAAAATTTCTATTGTTTCAGCCACTGTGACCTTGACCCTTGACCTTTCGGCCCCAAATGCAAAAGGCTTCTTAGGATTACCAAGGACAATCCACAAACCAAATTTGAAGTTCATATGTAAAGTATTTCTCAAGTTATCGCGCTGACAAAATTTCTATTGTTTCAGCCACTGTGACCTTGACCCTTGACCTTTTGGCCCCAAATGCAAAAGGCTTCTTAGAATTGCCAAGGACAATCCACAGACCAAATTTGAAGTTCATATGTAAAGTATTTCTCAAGTTATCGCGCTGACAAAATTTCTATTGTTTCAGCCACTGTGACCTTGACCCTTGACCTTTCGGCCCCAAATGCAAAAGGCTTCTTAGGATTACCAAGGACAATCCACAAACCAAATTTGAAGTTCATATGTAAAGTATTTCTCAAGTTATCTCGCTGACAAGATTTGTCCGGACACACACACCCACACACCCAGACTTGTTTCACATAAGTAGTGTGGACTTTCCTTTCTTTTCGTGTAGTTAAGGAACACCAGTGGAAAAACTCATTTTTCTCAAACTGTGAAAACTCTTTCAACCCAATTTTTATGCCCCGCGGCGAAGCCGAAGGGGCATACTGTTTCCGCCTTGTCCTTCCGTGGGTGGGTGGGTGGGTGGGTGAGTTTGTCTTACATACGCAGTGTGGACTTCCGAACAAAAGACGTCCACATAATGTAGGTAGCACCGACGTTGTGTGGACTTACCCCACGTCCACACAGTGTTTCCCCATTTCTGGAAAACAGGTTTAGAGGCATTTTTGGGTTAGGTTTATCTGTAGCAGAATGAAGAGAAACACTAAAGGGAATCATAGAAAAAAAATTGGGTTGAAAGAGTTTTCACAGTTTGAGAAAAATGAGTTTTTTCACTGTTTTTTCTTAACTACACGAAAGCAATGGAAAGTCCACACTAGTCATGTGAAACAAGTATGGGTGTGTGGGTGTGTGTGTCCGGACAAATCTTGTCAGCGCGATAACTTGAGAAATACACAAGTTCAACGTGATGAAAGGCTGCATGCACCGCGTGCGAGCGTGTTGTGTTCTAAGCACACGAACATGTAGCATTCAGCCTGGAAATCAAGTTTATCATTTCAGTTACCGGTGGTTCCCTATCACAGTGATATATGTGAACACAAAAAAGGTCGGGTACCAACCATGTTTTCATCGCCCGCATCGCGTGCATCGCGTAGTACAGTGCAAAGATCATATACACTGACAGTGTTGTGGAATCTTGCATGTTTCCGATGTTTCGTGCTGAATATTACTTTGGAAATTCGGGTAGGCAGAAAAATAATAGGAACATGGACAAATCAGCTAGTTAAAGGCTATAGAAGCAAAAAACTAAATGGAACTTGGCTTGGCTACAAGAGAAAGAAACAGGGACTAAATGTTTTTTTTACAAAAAAAAAAAATTCGGGTTAGTTCAAGCAGCTGTTCCGTTGTTTTTTTTCAAGCAGACACAGTTCCGTTTTTTTCAAGCAGACCCTGTGGCATCTCTGTCCAGGTTCACAGGATGCAGACACGCATTTGAAACCAAATACGTAGTGGAGTAACATGTATTGCAGGCAAAAATCCACAGAACACGACCCTCACAAGGTCACACCGTTATTTCTTTACATGTAATTTCAAGAGCTTATGTTTTTCATTGAATTTCCCGGGAGCCCGTTCCAACTTGGAACTGGTTTATTTTAGAGAAGGGTCATTCTGTTTCAATTCAACACGAGTTTGGACCCGACCCTCACAGATTGAAACAATATTTGGTGTTATGATTTGCCTATATGAGAAACCCACGAACTAAAATTGTTGTAGTTTGGCTCATTAGTTTGTGAGATACGGGGTCAACAAAGTTTTCAACGAATATCCCAGCAGGGGATATGGACATACACTGGGGGACACTGCCCCCACCAATGACACACCCCCCTACTTACTCCCCCATCTAGAGCTAGTATGATGCTAGCTCTATATAAACAGCCATGTGGTTGCGAAGGCCGATTTCTAAAGGTTACGTAATACTTTATTTTGAATAAAACAGCATGCACACAGACATGTTCACGTTGGCAGGCGAAATCTTTGAAAAATAATGTTTGAATAATAATCTTCATGCAACTTCCAGGTTTTTTTTTCCTTTATAATGATCCAACTGGTATGTGCTTAAAATTGTTTTTGATAAGTTTAGTACTTTTGTTGAAATTGGAAAAATAGGTCTGGCTACGTGCATTTTTAATAGTTGTAACATTGGTGTTTGCAATGTCTGTCAATCTTTTCAAGCCTCATGAATATTAATAAGGTTCCTATCCATTATGGTGTGCAGTAAAAGTTTGCAGAATAGCCTCCTTTATGAGTTGTTATTTAATAAATGTCACCCTTTTTGCCAAATTCCATTGGTCAGTACCGAGACGCAAGTGAAGTCACGCCGAGTGACGCTAATGAATATACTAATACATGTACATGTATTCGCTTCATCATTGTTGCCCCCAAATCAGCCAACCTAAAAACCATGCGCGTAAGTTAATTTGGTCGGAAAAAAAATCCTCGTTAAAACTTACCGTGGAGATAGTTCAAGGTATAACACAAGCATTCGCAACAACACATTAAGCTGAAATTCGGAAAATACAATTAGATGATATAAGTGGTCAACATCTCGTGAAAAAAACAACTTGAGGGAATTCTTAGAAATTGACATAGAAACATAGATTTGGGGACGTTTTTGAACGATTTCTTCCCGACTTTAAGGTCAGCTTTACCAGGAACCAGAATTGAAATTTCAACATCGAATAACAGTGATTTTTTCACTAACATGAAGTGTTAAAATTTCTTTTTCCATTATAATTTAACATTTCAATCATACTGAGCATATTTTCTGAAAAACACAATGTTCAAAAGCCCATGTTTTTTTGGAGTGCATGAATTTCACTGCTCTGTTATAGCGTCCAAGTACCAGTAAGTAATCAGATTAACTTTGTTTAACGACGCTTAGGCCTAAGTTGCAAGTACATGGCTAGACAACACATTAGGGCTGTCGAGGGCAAACTTGTACATGTACATGTATGTACAGGTCAACATGCACTTGCTGTATTTACAAGTACTATGCAAATTAATTTTTTTTCCCGGACATGCTATCTTTAACCCTAACCGCCCTGAATCCTCCAAAATCCTTTTTGCAAATTGGAGGAATTTGCAGGATTGAGGTTACATGGCAAAAGTGCATTGCTGATTTCGGATAACGCACTGTGTCAAGGTCTTGGGCCAAACCTTGTGTTGTTTATGCTCAGCCGTGCATAAATTTAGTCCTTGATTATATTATACTTGACATCCTCCGCATTGCTCCAGGATGTCACTGCCTCTGCCTCAGCCTATTGACAGACATAGCCGGAGGATTTTGCAGGATTCAGGCAGTGGTCATCCCTCCATGGACCATATTCAAGAAATAATGGAGGAATTTGCAGGATTGAGGCTATATGCTATTTTTCCATGAGGCCAATTGGAGGATTTTGCAGGATTGAGGCTACATCCTAGCAAAACGGCCTAGGGAGTTAGGGTTAAAATAATCACGACATGTCCATCACAAAATGTTCCAAGATTGTTGCTTACATCATAAACTGACATCTGAAAACAAAGTATGAAATTTGAAGCACATTTATTTTCGTAATTCAGAGGTCATTACATTACGCATTTTTTTTCTGTGCTTCATGCTACGAATGTGGTTTTATTTCATGAAATAGAGGCCATTCAAAGAGCTTTAATATAATGTACAACTTGGCTTTGTAGGTGCAATAGTTTTGGAGATACAAATATGAAAGTTCGGAAGTCATGCTAATTAGTCAAAAGTACGTTGACTCGTATTTCAAAGATTAACAAGCCAAATTACAAAAAAATGAAGTACTGGATAATGGGCACTTTCAGTGAAATCAGATAACAGTTACCGCAGTTTGAAGAAAAAGAACAGGATTTTGAAATACCGGTTTCTCCAATCACTAATTGCCAGTTTGTATTATTGATTGATTGATTCATTCACTCATTTCTTTGCTTAGGCTGGACTGGCCAGTAAGAACGTTAAGCTTCAGTTATGACGGAAAGATGTTAGCATCGGCTTCAGAGGATCTGGCCATTGATATTGCTTCTGTTGAAACAGGTATGTTGATACCAGTACACAGTGGTTTAAGACCCAGACATTTCAAAAAAAATTCCCTAATATTATGCCTTAATTTAGTTTAGTTGTATCTAATGAGTTAATTTATAGCAGATAAAAATATTTTTCCAACATCTTTACTGTTTATAACTACACAAAACTAAGAGGGTTAGACTTATTACAGTAGGCACATTGGTGCAACAATAAAAAAAAACCTGTTTTTCCATACCAAAATTATATCTTCAGACAGAAAACTGTGCATCATCTTCTAGCTTGTTTAGTACCCTTTAAGCTAATATAACACTTGTTATGAAAAGCATTTCAGAAAGTGCTGAAATTTGTGGGGACTACTTGCGGTAAATTATGTAGAAGTACCCAAAAAAGCAAAAGACACTCAGATTATGTTCGCTGATACATTTTTACCATCAGCCATAAACGGCCTGGGTAAAATTGTCTATTTTCTTCATAAATTGGTACTCTGATTATTTGGCTACAAATATAATCAACTGGAAAAGTCGCGCAATGCATCGTTGTGCCGAAGAAAATCAACTTTGTAAGCAGTCCTCAGATGGGATTTAACATAAAACGCTGTCTCTGGTGACAAAGTGAACAGCGCCCTCTATTGTTGAGATTTGTCTAGCGTGATAGCTGTGTTGGGCTCGGTGTCATCGGTTGCACTTCGGAAATTTGTGTAAGAAGGTTCAAATCTCAGGGCTCGTGTGGGATTAACAGTAAACCATTATTGAAGAAATTGAGCTTTTAATGGTTTTCTTTTTCATGGAAAATGTAGATAGAACTAGAGGTTGTAGGAACAACCACACGGTGTTGGGCTACGGACTACTGCAAACTTTTCCAAACACATCAACTCAAAATGCATGTTTTAATCCATGTTTTATTAAGTCAACATGCCGCTAGAGGGCGCTGTCACATTTTATGACGTCACCTGTAATATTTTTGTAAAGTATACCCTAGGCAGAAATTCACATCGTTACAAGCAAGTGCACATCTTTTGCCAATTTCAAATTATAAGGCACTTCTGGTTTCGACCGGAAGGAAGGGTCACATGATTTTGCACTTGCATGTAATACCAAAAATGAAGACCCTGCAATATTGTATCGATTGTAATAAAAAACAAACTCAAATCTGTAGCAGTTGATTTTATATTGATTTTTAAAGATTAAATATGGAAATCTTTATTTGCTTGTAATATGACACTTGATGACATCGTTGTGACGTCATGGCCAGAAACCTCCAGAGCTATATTAACTGTACTATATATAGCCACATCTTGATTATATCTGTCACGGTTGATGTTTTAGCATTATTGTTTAAGGTTTAAAGGTCTTGTCTTTATAACTTCCGGTATGATGACGTAATCAATTTTTTTTCGTGCACAGGTCTTGTCTGCATTTATTTCATCATGTATGTTAATTTTGAAGCGATTACCGCAAATTTCGCCACAGACATCAAGTGAAAATGCGTTTTCGACGATTTTTAACCTGGCGCTAGAGGGCGCTCTAACATTTTATAACGTCACCTGTAATATATTTCTGAAGTACAGCCTAGGCAGACACTGACATCGTTGAAAGCATGTTCGCATCTTCTGCCAATTTCAAATAATTAGACACTTCTGGTTTCGACCGGAAGGAAGGGTCACATGATTTTGCACTTCATACCAAAAATTACGACCCTGCAATATTGTTTCGATTGCCATAAAGAACAAAATCAAATCTGTAGCAGTTGATTTTACATAGATTTTCAAAGATTAAATCTAGAAATCTTTGATTGCTTGTAATACGACACTTGATGACGTCATTATGACGTCATTACCAGAAACCTCCAGAGCTATATTTACTGTGCTGTATACAGCCAAATCTTGATTATATTTATCGCGGTATATTTTCTAGCAATTTTTTAAGGTTTAAAGGTCTTTTTATTGTAACTTCCGGTCTGATGACGTAATCAATTTTTTTTTCACGCACAGGTGCTGTCTGCATTATGGTCATCATGTACATTAATTTTGAAGCGATTACCGCAAACTTCGCCACAGACATCAAGTGAAAATGCGTTTTGGACGTTTTTTAACCTGCCGCTAGAGGGCGCTCCAACATGGCGTCACCCATTATTTTTTTTGAAAGGTCAATCCAGGCAGACACTTAAATCGTTTTAAAGCAAGTTCATATCTTTTTCCACTTTTAAATTATTAGGCACTTCCGGTTTCGACTGGAAGGAAGGGTCACGTGATTTTACGCACACAAGATAAAATGAAGATCATGTATTACCATGTCGATTCCTGCAAATTTCAGGTTCCGGTCTCTCACTGTTGATTTTATATGGAATTTCAAAGATTACATTTATTAAACTTTCAAGTGACGTCACGTGACCCATGATGACGTCATGATGACGTAATTGCAAAAAAACACATCTGCGGTGGATTGGGCATTCATGTATTGACAAATGAAGTTCATCTATGTTTCCATTTTTCCAAACAGTTCTGGAGAAGAATTTGCTGAGAATTTGCCGAGGAGAACAAAAATAGTAAATTCTTACAATAACAATAGGTGTTGGGCTCAAGGCCCAACACCTAATTAGAGATGAAAGATTTTATTTTTTGCACAACGTTTTGGTGTGGGCCCACACTGGGCGCGGTCAGCCAGATCATGTTCCTGGTGTTTGTGATTGTTATAAAATGTCTTAAGCCCTGTCCGCACTGGACTTTTTTTGGTCAAACTAACCGAGACTATGGGTACTTTTCCCATTTTTAGTCCAGTGCGGACAGCCTAGGACGTTTTCCTCTCAGTTACTTTTCCTGAGTCCAGCGGTTACTTTTACTGGCCAACTGCTGCCCAGGAAAACTTCCCACGCGCCCAGGAAAACTGACCGAGTCGCTTTTCCCGAGACGATTAGTCCAGTGCGGACAGTGCGAGTCGGTAAAAGCGGCTCAGGAAAGCGTACATCCGGCCCGAGCGCCCTGTTATGCATACAGAGACCGCACGAACCTGCACGTGCAGTGGCCGAACATTTTGTAGAAACACGCTGCGGTGTATTATCAAGTCCGAGCGGTAAAATCTCGTTAAAATATATATTTCAACGGACAAATACATACACAGAGAAGAGAGATCACATTCTGAGAATTAATTTGCGGAAATTCTCTTTCTCCACCGATGTATGTTATTTTCTACGATCCAAATTCGTCCTGATACGCTACTGTAGTCATGCACGGAACATCATGGTCCGGTACCGTACGTAGGCCGTAGTCACTGGTTCCTGGCCCACATCATAGCTTCGATTCTGTAAGCATGCGATGGGAACCAACGAATACTGATGGCACTGCTGCCGCACGGAACATCGTACAGCGGCATGGCTTCGACGACGTGCATCACAAATGCGTCAGAATTATAGGCCCTTTCGTCAAGATTTAGCGTGTCAAGATGAAATAATATCGTGTAAACGATTATGTTATGCATGCAAATGGCGTGTGTAATATTACTGAGCGTATCGGTGGCTGAAAATGTGATCGGCAATTTGTTTTCTGCGTACGGTGAGTCGTTATACTGACACTGTGACAGTCGGGGTAAAATTTCCCGTGTCGAAAGTCCAAGTGCGGACAGTGGTCACATTTGACCATTTTTCATTTTACCATCGTCTCGGTAAAACCTTCCAAAAAAAAAGTCCAGTGCGGACACGGCTTTAGGCCTGGCAAGGCCAGGAAAACCAACAGAACACCATTTCAGCCAACCATACGTATTTTCCCCAGGGAAGCCAGATACTTTCAAGGACTGATTTGTTGATGATAACATCCAGCCACAACTCCTGACAGAGCTGTCATTGTGATGTAAAGCATTGACAATGACTAAAATGTAAACACTGAGATCATAATATTTTCTGATAATTTTATTTTTATTTTTCTGTATGACTTTTCTGAAACCAAGCCCTTACGTCCCCCATTTTTTTCTTATGACAAAGGACTCCTCCACTTCATCTGTTCCATTAATTTGGCAACGGACAAGAATATTGGACAATCAAATATGCCACCCTCTAAACGAGACGTGGAATAAATATCTAAAGAGAAGGGTCGGCCGGAACAAGAGGCCGGATTATATAAGAACTAATAATAGACTACAACCAACACAGGAGAAGGTTAATAAACTGAACATTTCTAAGCGATTAAGAAAATGTAGGGAGAATTAGATATGAGCTGAATTTAACAGATCACCACCGCAACTACTCTCTCAAAAACCAACCACATTTCTTATGAACATTTTGTAAGTTTTGAAAAAGAGCCGTCTAAAAAACAAACGCTTGACACTTTATCAATCACTGTTGCGGAGGCTATGGATTTCACAATTACATTATGTCAGAAGGGGATGAAGCTGATGTTCCCAAAGCTGAGCTTGATCACCCGAGAATTAATCCTCTTGATGAAGTGGAACCACGCAAGCAGCAGCAGAACGGGTGCGATATTAGATGAATTGAGGACAGCCATTTTTGTAAGAGCAGTGGCCCAATATATGATTTTATCTGTTTTCACTAAATAAGTCTCAAGAATTACAGGTTTTAGCTAGAAGGAACAAAAACCGGCTGCACCACTTAAGAACGCCATTTTTTTATTTCCACGGTAAAATACAACAGAAAATAATAGTAAGATTAATGATAACATTTTGCAAACACATGGCCTTATCACAAGGAATATATTAATAAAAATAATAACAAAGTAATCACCTTGAAAACTTGCATTTGCAATTTGGTTTAATCTTTATTTAACATAGTAAATCCAAAATTAACGACAACAAAAAAATGTTTGGAATCCGTGACGATATGGTGATGAGAAGTGATATGGACGTGTAATAAACATTAATGCAAAAATTGTCACAAGAGGGCGCCATTGATAAATAGTACCCTCTTCTGAAATTTAGCTCCAATTTTTGACAATTTCGGTGAGTTACGTTTTTAGATAATAGCCAACCTAGTTTTCTGTACCCAGAGATGGTATTTTAACATGC